CCCACTGTGTATTTGAGTTTGAAACCCCTGACTTACTACAACTCTATATCTATCTAACACCCCTCCTCCCCCCACCCCCACAATGAATATCGACCAATCACGTTCTTGCTTGATTTGTGGGACCAGCGTTGCAGTCGGGAAGAAAAGCAATGTGGAGCGGAATCTCTCCACACTTCATAAGGAGTTTGACCGTGATTTTCCTTCTGGCAGATTCTACACAACACATCAGCCCCATTGAACAGCCTATCATGCCAGCCCATACAGCAAATGAGGGGCAGAGTTTTACTCTGTGTGTTGCAACTTGCATATTTATTTATTGCACTTGACGCACACACACGCATGGCGTAATTTCCACTGGGGACATGTCCCCCCCACTTTTCGAAAACACGTTTGTGTCCCCCCACTTTACAAATATGTTTATTATAATTTTTTAACGCAAGCCGTCATCGCCACGGAGGAGCACACAGCCTCTGTGAGCGAGCGAGAGAGCTAGGGAGAGCACACCTTTATCTATTTAATAGATAAAGTGAGAAATCATTCCATTGTACTATAGAACAGTAAAAAAAAAAAACAGTTTAAAAGGGGAGTGATTAGTAAAATATGCATAAATATAAAGAAAGAATGCCAACTAGATAAGATAAGAATGAACAAGTTTAAATGATTTGTTCTTGGTTGTGATCATATTCTAAAGATGTTTGGATTATTGAAAAGTATACAGCTCCCTTCCATCTGAGTGTTGAGAGCTGTATCCATCAATTCATGTTGTGCTCAAAGTGCACCAGATTGATGCATTTAACGTCAACATTTAAAAAACAATCTTCCCGGGGTTGTATGCCCCCGGACCCCCCTAGAGGAGGTGAGGTCCACCCCCAAATAAAGCGGGTTAAAATAATTAAATAGCATACATTTTATTTTAAAGTAACTCCTGACTTGTTTTATTTTGTGAAAGTAGCTCCCATCCTAAAAAAGGTTGGAGACCCCTGCTTTAGAGTATGTCTTCATTTTCCCTTTTGCCTAATATTTTGCATTTGTTTCTTTACTTTGTTATTTAAAAAAATGTCAATGCAGGAGGGAACATGTAACTTAATGAACATGTGCTTACTTTACAAGGTTTTTCACACTTAAAGTAAAGGGTGTAAAAAAAAAAAGGGAAATACTGAGAATAACAAAAAGAAAAAGTAAGCTAAGGTTATAGTTCGCACAACAATAATAGCAGAAAAAGTATTCGAAAATGCTGGGTACAGGAACAGCCTTACTTGCGGCTCTATTCCGGGAAACATTGTCTTTCATCAGTGTTTGGTCTTGTAAGGTAAAATAAGACATTTCTATTGATGAGGCAAACATTTTTATTTCTTCCAGGGAGCATCGCCAACAAGGTTTTCCATGAGGTTTTGTTGGACACGTGTTCGGACCTGACCTCTCACTGCTGGCCTCAGGACTCCGGGAAAAAGCGCAAGAAGGACGGCCTGAAGAGCTCTCAGGCAGAGGGCAAGCGCTCCAAACCTCAGCGCAAAGACAATGCAGAGGTCAGTTCCTGAATCAGAAATGATGGTAGGATAGGAGCCCAAACAAGCAGGTAGAATGTTGCCTTCTGGAAAAAATGTCATGCTGTGAGAGTAACCATGAGAAGGGAACATTTTCAGAATGGCCCCTTCTTATAGTCTTTAAAAAAAGATAATCACTGTAATGGATTATTTATTGTCTACCAGCTGATAATCAAAGGTCACTGAAACGTTTTACATTACATCTACTTAGGTTTATTATGTGGTATCCAAAATAGATGCACATGTACTAAATCATTTAGTTTTAAAATGGATTGTAGAGGGTTCCTGTCTCTGTTATCCTCAGATGAATGTGGATGAGGCAGATGAAGAGGAGGAGGAAGAGGAGCTTAATTTCTCTGGTCAGGACCTGATGAAGATCAGAGAGGCTGTAGTTCAGCTGGTTCAAAGCCTCCTCAGACTCCTGCAGACGTTTCCACTCAAAGACAGGCCGCAGAGTGCCGGCAGCTTCACACAGGTAACATGATTCCATCATCACACCTAAACACACACACACACAGACACACACACACATTTCCAGCAGTGTTTCAAGTTTGCATTTTCTCTGCAGATCTTCAGCAAGTTGCTTTCCTTTGAGCCGATTGTTGGAGGGTCAACATTTTCTGCTCAGCAGTGAGTTTTCTTCCTCCTCTCTCTGTTGGATGATGTATTCAAGACTTGAACCAGCTGAAAGTTTTTTCTGCACAGAGATATCAACAAGCTGAAGAGCGTTCCCGAGATGGCTTTCTACGGCCTGCAGCTGCTCTGCTCGCCAACACACGGAGAACAGAAGGATGTAAGATCCAATGATTATGGTCCATGTGGGGGGGCCATAGTAGGCACACTAAGGTTTACATGTAAACTCAATTGACTAAAAATAGAAATGTTTACCGACTTCTGTTTTGTGGATTTGTTGACATGAAAAGTGACTGTTCGTGTTTTATCTCCAGCTTTGTAAATTCATTACTTAAAAAAATGCTATCAAATCAAATGCTATTTGATATATCTTATCCTCATTCAAATTTAAATATTAATTATAGATTATGATGGAATATCCCCCAGGAGACACATGGGTAGCTGTTACACACACACTCTCCACACTGCAGTGACAACGAGCTAGATCAGGGGTCTGCAACCTTTTTGACCAAAAGAGCCATTTTGCTCCTTTTTCCAAAACATTTTTTTTGTCTGGAGCCGCAAAACATATTTCATAGCTTGATAGCTAATAAAGTTGTATTTATTGTTATATCAGACAAAAACTACAGTTTTTTTGCATTTATTAGGCTATTTATTACATTATATAAAACTGTTAACCTCTAATAAGAAACAAAGAACTCCTATAAGGAGAATTAAAAATAATACACAGGCCTACCTTTTTACTTTGCACATTTGAAGGAAAACAAATATTATTAAAATGGGCCCACTTTGAAATAAATAAAACATATAGCTGCACCCTAAAAATAGTTAAAGGTAGGGTAGGTAAGAATGGAGAAACCAGCTCGAGTGCGCTAGAGTTTGAAAATACACAACCGGAAAAAATATGCCTCTTCCTTCAGACTTCCTCACAGAGCCCCTCCTCCA